TCTTCTACAATGCTGCACCTTTCTATCGGTTGTGGCTCTCGAATACTAGGCATGTACCCGACGGTTTCCAGAATTATTTTAGAGAAGACTCTTTACTCTATCGTGACATACATTTTGTGCTAAAAACCTCGATTTTTCAGTTGATGTACCTGACGGATGAAAGGAGACGAGGTCGTCAGACTCTGAATCTGTGGTGGATTTTTAATTGTAACGTAATGACTAGATATCCCAAAGTGTTTTCTACAATTCTGCGTAAGGTCGATCTTTCTATCTGTTCTGGTTCTCGAACAGCACACATTTTCCTTAATCACCTGTAACTGGCTACCATTTCGTCGGGTAAATGCCTACTATTCGAGAGCCACAGCCGATAGAAAGGTCGGTTTTGTGCAGCATTGTAGAAGACACTTTGGGCTATCTAGGCACTGTGGTACAACAAACTCCATCGCAGTTTCAGAATCTGGTAATCACATCTCTTTTCATCCGTCAGGTACATCACCTGAACAATCGAGGGTTTTAGCACAAAATATATGTCAAGATAAAGTAAAGAGTCTTCTCTACAAAATTCTGGAAACTCGAACTCTCTATCTCTTTTCGTTCTCGGGTTATTTCAAAAATATTCATGGCCGCTCTATTGAGACATCAATAGTAGAAACCCCGGATGTCTATAACCGGTTACAAATAACTGCTTATCTGTAACATTTTGAAAGGGTAAATACAGGAATTTGTAGCGCCTGGAAATTTCTCTGGAATGATGTATTGCTTTACCGTTTCTAATAAACCGTTAATTTGCAAAATAAAAGTGTAAGGCATCAGAGTGATATTAATTAGTATTGATTAATTATAAATTATTGTCTTAAAAAAACTTTTTTTTAAGGTTTTTCATCAAACCATAACAACAGACCATTGGCTATCAAGCAGTGCATGAATGGCTTTTCGACGATTATATTTGACTGAGTTACAAGTCTTTTAAAATGAAGACTAGGACTTTAAATTTTAATTTAATTGAGTGGACGTCCCCACTAATGACAGGTAAAGAGTCGGTTGACCATTTTCGAACATTGTGGATAGTAACGCTATCGGACCGCTCGAAATTGAGAAGTATCAGTTAGCAGCACTCTATACCGATAATGATAGTGACGAGTGTTCTTCTTCCCATCTTCTGAAAGACGCGAACTGTTTTTAATGGCAAAGACGCAAACACTAATACGTACATTTCAAGCACTCTGAGTTTTCGTATTCAGAAAAGAATGCTAAATGTATATTCAATAATATTGCATATTATAGCTCTCATTGTTCCTTTACATTGAATTATCCTTGTGAATGACATCAAACAAAAGATTACGTTTAGAGTGCACGAAAAACAAAAATGACTAGTATATTGTTTTCAAAAAAGTTCCTTTCGCTGTTTGATATACGTAATCAGGGGTCTCAGATTCGGTGACTCGTGGAGGATAGAACAAAGGACTGTCATGATGATTCCTTTGTTCTGTCCCCCAAGAGTCACCACATCTGAGACCCCTGTACCTGATATATAGAGTGATATAGTGTTACTTGCTCACATGCAGTCTGTTCTTTCTGTTATATTTAAATGAGAAACGAAACATTGTAAAATAAGAAGGTAATATATATGACTATTGAAAACAACCTTATCAACATTGTCTCGTGAGTATTATAATTAATAAACAAACTAAAGTTTTTCAATTAAAATAGAAGAATTTCATCCAACTCAGCATAACAGATTTTTCGACTAAGTTTCGCAAACAATTAAATTTCTTTGTTAGGAATCAGAGAAATCGAGACTTACTATGAGAATCAGAGAAACTAGCAAAATCACAGATATTACAAGTAGAGATTTTATGAGTATCTATGTGAATAAAATGATTTTTGAACTTTAAACTGGACTTACCAAAGTACACTTATGATACGGTTTTTGAGACTTCATCTAGCAGTGCTCACGACATGGCGCTCATATACGGGTCAAAGTGGAGCTTTTAACGTTAAAAAGATTTCTCTGTCTAATCAATCTGAGCTCAGATTGGTATTCAGTTACAGACAAATATCACTGCAATGACGTGATCGAGCCCGGTTTTTGACATGTCCCTTCAACAAGCTTTTGAAAACAATGAAAGTTAATATTTTAGGATAATTTCAGAAAAGTCTGAATTCTCAATAAACGAAATTTAAAATCAAATATATGATCTCCATGTAGTTATTTGTTTATTAACAATCGAAATCAATATACCCATTGTCCCGCTGTCCCCGTCTTTTCGATACAAAAAAATTTCGCCATCTATCACAATTTTTGATAAAAATCTACATATAACTCCATTTTTGATTTTTTGTTATCGCTACAACAGGCTACTTATTTATTTTGACTTAATCACGATATCTTCCATTTTATCTCGGCTAACTCGCCTTCTATGATAAAATGGGCGATATCGGGATAAAGTTCTGTTGAAAGTGTCAGTGATAAAAACATATCTTAATACTTAGCCTGTTATTGCAATAACGAACGCATCAGGAATCTCTATCGCGGACATCGCTACGAAACAACCAAAAGACGTACATGGAGACTCTATTAGCTCCTCAGCTCCAGTTCACTTCAAGACTAATTCGAGCTCTCCATTGCTCACTTTGAAGAAGAATCTTTGCAAACTTTGTGACCCGTAGAAAAGTCTCTTTTGAGATCTAGCAGTACCATCTTATAATATAGATTTTAGAGTCCTAAGTAAAACTGACATAACTTTTGATTAAATTACAGTCCAGTATTGTGAAAAATCGCATTTTAACTAGGAAATATTTACTCTAGCGTCATTGACGTCCTTTTTGGTATCAGTATTTCACTGACATATCAGAATTTCAAACAAGTGAATTTTTAACGTTTTGAATATAAAGGTAGGTCTTTTAGAATTTCCAACCATGTACTTAGCGCAATATTGAAGAATTTAGTATTCGAATTGTTATTCTTTTTCTCAGGGTATTGGGCATATGATAGTTTTCTGGGAGAGGGTACATTTGAATAATTCCTTAGAATTTGAGTGATGCTGCGTTTATAATCTTAATTATTTGAATTATAAAAAAACGAGAATCGAGATAGTTTTTATGAAGATTTTAACTGGAGGTGTTTACTGTTTACACTTTCAGCAGCAGCAAATATGAATTTTATTAAAAGTTGCATATTATCAACGGAGAAGAAAGAAGAAGAGGAAATACCACAACTACCAGTCGAAAGTCCTGATGTAAAGGAAAGTGGTTTTAAACATTTGTTCGAAATTCAACGCATTTCAAAAAAACAACTTTATGACCGTAATCCGGAATTTGTCGCTAAGTATGCCGAAGAAAAATTGAAACAATTTACGCTTGTAGTATGTGGGGCACCAAAAACTGGTAAAAGTACACTAATCAATGCTATATGTGGGAAAGCAGTTGCTGATACCAGTGATAGCCTTGATGCCCTCACGACCGATACAAAATGTTATCCAGTAGAAGGTGCGTATCCAGTTATAGAAGAGGAACAAGACTACCAGAAGAAATTTCGTATCAACATTTATGACACAAAAGGTATAACCTCGTGGGATTTGTCCATAATAGATATTCTCAAATCGACCAATCCAATATGTATGATATACTGTGCAACGCCAGGAACATTTGCTGATTTGAGGATGGTTGAAGAGCTGATTAAAGAATGTGTTAGATTGAAAATATTTGTGGCTTTGGTATGCACTAATATGTGGACAAACGACGATGAACATCGAGAAACTATTATGCAGGAGTTCGATAACGTGTTAAAGGTAAAATGACAGAATGCAATTTTTATACAAGGTGAGTGTCAAGAATATTTACCCAACAAGGAAAAACGATCTTTTTCCGCATAAAAATATCGGATGGGCACAGACTGGATAGTGTGGGGTTGCCGCACCGTCCAATATTATGAGGTACAAACTCAGAATTAGTACTTATCTATACCTTCCTGTACCTAATCATACCTATGCACACCACGTATATACATGTAAATATACTGCCTACTACAAACGTACTGTGCTCGAAACTCGACGTCGGCAGGTCATGTAATAACTTTGGAAAAGTTATTTGTGTATTAGTGTCTCGGATCACCCGTTCGACAACATACTACGTTGTGATGTATAAGACAGCTCCTCTGGCTAATTTGCGTAACTTTCCGAAAGGGTAGTACGTGGTTAATGAGTGTATATGGAGAGGTCATGTAATTGGTCGAAGGGACTCTGCTTCTTGGCGCAACATCAAATATTAAGGGTTAACCCTCTGTCCCGAGCTATGGTTGATAACCAGTAACGAGATGGATGACCACGTCAGTAGCTTGTAGGGAAGATATCAAGCTATTGAAACTGACATTCGGCAACACCCTATACCGCAAACGGTGGCCGCAAGGCTGAGTATACTTTTATTCTCCCTTCATAGATATACACACGTACTAACTTTAAAGTATTATAGATTTTGGAGCTGTAACTATAATTTGGAACCTGTAGCTATGAGCAGGTACCAGGGGGAGAGATAAGCAACGGCTTGTATAGTACAGATGTGGAATAACTTTATTGTAGATACTAGAGGAACTATATAGAAAAATAGATTTCCTTGAAACACGCTTGGCTGGATAGCGCTCGTCGAGCTGATTCTGAATATCGTCTTTTTATCAGATTTTAATCAAGTTTTGGGGAGAAATCTTCAAAATACCGCAATAGTCACAAAAAGTGAAAAAGTGAAGTTATAGAAAAAAATCAAGAATTAACCGTTCCGTTCACTCTAGTTTTTCAAAACTATTTTATTCGGGTTCAGCACTCAGCATCAAAAAGTGAGTGTGTCCATGTAGGTTTGACACTAGCTCATCCTTCTGACCCCTTCAATTCTCCGCAAAATGGGATGCTAGCCAAGGTTCTGTGATGTTGTGGTAAAAAGTGGCATAGAAAATACGACGCAGATCGAAAACGGCATTAAAGCGAATGAATTTATATTCATGATGTTATCAAAAAAGTTCACTCTAGTTTTTCGAAACTATTTTATTCGGGTTCAGCATTCAGCATCAAAAAGTGAGTATATCCATGTAGCTTTGACACTAGTTCATCATTCTGATGTCTGCGATCAGAACGGACTAAGTCCGCCCTGGGACGTTTTGACATCTTTCCCAAATCTATGTAATCTTTTGTTTCAAGACCTGTCCACAACTATCATACGTCATTCGAATCACCATCCAACAGTGAACAAAAGTATGCGTAGATTTACGAAACTTTCATTTCGCCGCTGAGAAAAGTCGAGAGAGAGAGAGTTGTGGATAGTTCTTGAAACAAAAGATTACATAGATTTAGGAAAACAGGGTGTCAAAACGTCCCAGGGCGGACTTAGTCCGTTCTGATCGCAGAC